ACCCTCTGTTATCGTATCACTGTTCCTGACATACTCAGTGACCTCCAGCTGAAGATGTGCCCAGTTCCCTGCCTGGGGCAGAGAAAGCCAAGGCCTTGGGACAAGATGCTGTGTGTGTGGGGATGGTTCCCCAGGGCAGAGGATGCCTGCAGCCCTGCAAGGTATGAGTACAGCAGGAACAGACAGCAAATGTCCAGTGTTTCAGTCCTCAAGCTGGACTTTGAGCTCTTACAAGCTAAAAAGCTCAAACGTGAACAAAGTCTGAGAAATTCATCTCTAATAAATACAGCAAATATTACACAGAATGAACCTAATGCAAAAAGTCTCCCTCCGCTCTCTTGATTTAGACCTAAGTTTCAGGATGTTAAAGATTTCAGACTTCATTGGGAAAAAAAGGGAGAGGGAAAAACAGTAGTCAAAGGTCACAAACTTCCAGTTATAAGACAAGTTCTGGGGAATCTTGGACAGCATGGTGGTTATAGTTAATAACTTTTTTATATACTTGACAGTTGCTAAGAGAGTACACCTTAAATATTCTCAACACAAAAAAGCATATAGTAATTATGTCACTTAATGGAGGTATTAGCTATGGTGATACTTATTTTGCAACATGTAATATATCAAATCAAATCAACATGTTGTGTATCTTAAGCTTATACAATGTTATATGTCAATCATATCTCAATGAAGCTGAAGGGGAAAAGTTAAGATGAGGTCTAAGGGGAGCCCCAAATCCAATGCCTGGTGTCTACATGAAAGGAGAGGGGATTTGGATACAGAGAGACAGGGCAGAGTGTCACGTGAAGACAGAGACTGGGGTAACATTGCCACAAGCTAAGGAATATCTGAGGCCACCAGAAGCTGGTCCAGGCAAAGGAGGATTCTTCCCTAGAGGCATCAGAGAAAGCACGGGTCTGCTAGAACTTGATTTCAGACCTCGAGCCTCCAGAACTGTGAGAGAGCAAATTTCTCTTGTTTTGAATTACAAAATATCAGTCTGGAATTCCTTGCTATGGCCACTGTAGGAAACTAATGCAGCCTGAAACATCTTGTGCTAGAAAGAAAATGCTCAAAGAATGATGGCGATATGTCAAAAGGACACAGGAGCCATCTTGAAGGGGTTCTCAGTGGCCAAATAAATAATCATGGGAATGGATAACAACCCACCAACTAAAATAAAAACCCATGAATACACGCTGATACACATGCATGCATGCTGGGAGAGGTGATAAGCCAGGGACCCTGAGTGTTCCTATGCCTTCTCGTTCAATGTGGCAGGCAGGCTCTGACCACTCTCTGCTTGAGCCTTGCTCAGGGTTGTGTGTGCAGGGGGCCGCCTTCAGGGATGAGGGCACGTCTTCCCAATCCCTGGCAAAGAACAGGCTTGCTTCCACCTTCTATAAAAGTAGGGAACACCCAAAGCTCAGTGCCCCTTCCCTAGAGCACAACCCATGTTGGGAACCGCCCTGACTGGTATCAGAAGCTGAAACCCCCGCCTAGCTAAGGCTAAGGGAATGCCCTTGGAACTGTAAGCCAGCAAGGAGACAAAAGCTTATCTCCCTGGCAGGAATGCTGCTTCTGCTGCTTTATTCATGACTGAACCCCCAAAAGCTTGGTCGGTTAGCCAAAGACAGGTAAGATTCCCCACGGGGGGAACGACCTAAGCCAGGCACGATCACTTTGGGAGGCCCCCCAAAAGGACTTGGGGGGCTGCAGCAAAAGGGGGTGATGGACCCTCACTCCTCGGCTTTGACAAAGTCTGAGTTCTCAGCGTCTGGAAGAAAATCTCCTTATCTCTCGGTGGCCTTAGTTCCCGTGCTCCACCTAAGCCTGAAACAATGACAGGGTAGTACAGCTCGGTACTGAGAAGTGCGGATTTCCCGGGGTGATCAGGCCTAAGAAAGAACATGTAAATTACTGTGAAACCCTCTTTGTTTAGAATGCTCTCAGTTGAATGAGAAGGGTCTTAGGAGGAAGTTAGTTTGTTCCTCAGTCTTACAGCTCTTTGACCCCCAACTCAATAGACGGGCAGAGTTCTTTGTTTCCTATAGTTCCTTACTTCCCCTAATGAGTATTGTACTTTACCTGAGTTATTATGTAGCATGAGCCCAATAAAAGCAGGTATGGACTGTAAATCGGCGCGCTCCCCACTAGGGGGGGTGGCCATTCTGTCCCTACTTCCCCACAGAAACTAGTCTGTCTCTGTGCATGTGGTGTTTTTTCTCGCGTGTGTTTCGGCGAGCCATCCACAGCGTTCCGTGGTCACTGCTGGCCGGTGACCCACGCGCAACAAACCCATTGCATATTTGAGAATCTACCCAGGCCGACCTGCACCATGCCCAGGGGATGTGGGTTGGGACATGAGAAACCAATGCAAATCAAATGAAGCTCAGGCAGTGTGCCATGCCATGAATAATAACATCCTTTGGCTCAGACCCAAAAGTCTTGTACCTCTGCCAGCATCTAAGAAACAGTAAGAGGCTAACTTATTAGTTTGGAAGTAGGGTATAGTCCCAGACCTTTGCCAGTTCTTGACCATGGATAAATAAATAAAATAGGGGCAGAAGACAAACCCCAGAAGGGAATGGCAAATAATAAATGTAGAAAAAAATTACGGCGTTAGAAAATCATTAATGCTTATTAAAACTAGAGGTGAAATCTGATTAGGAAAAGGATACTTACATAGTAAGGATACTCAAAGGATCTCCCCAGAAATTACTCACTAATTACAAAGGGAAAATAGGAACTTTACAGGAAAGAAATATGGCAGACTCCGCCTTAGACAGATGATCAAAGCTAACATGAGCAATACTGGGACAGACAGACATCATGTTTCTCCTGGTGCAGTGAACTAAGAGGGAGGTAATTCTGTGGTATTGATAGGGGTTTAAGACTTGAGAAAATTTAGCTTAAGGTAAATAGTCATAAATCTAGCAAGTAATGTGTATGTTAAGTTTTTGTTTCAGTAACTACAGATAAGGCTCATCCTGGTGCCTGGGATTCAGCAGTTGACCTCCTGGGTCACTGGCTGGCCATTACCTCATCTGGAGATGTCTATACCAGGAAGAAGCAAGCAACTACCCTTCCCCCTTGGAGGCAACTGTTGAATTTCAAAGGCTTTTGCTGACACCTTGTTTGCCCTTCCCCAACCCCCTTATTAAAGATCTGGCTGGGAAAGAAAGGGGGAGATGGTTTGTTAGGGTATAAACCCGCCATCTTCTCGGATCACCGGCCATCTGAATAAAACGCCTATAAAAGATTCAATCACTGTCATTGCTTATTGGATTTGGTAGTGACAGGCAGCCCAAATGCCGGTGTCTTTTCCGGTTACAGTATTCCCTTTAAAAATGTGTAATCTAAATCTAATTATAAAGAAACATCAGACAAACCCAATATAAGAGGCATTTTACAACACCACTGGCCTAAATTCTTCAAAAATACCATGATCAGGAAAGAAAAAGTAGAGAAACTGTTCCAGACTAAATAAGATTAAAGAGACATGATGACTAGATGCAATGCATGATTCTGGATTGGATAAGGAATCATAATTTTGAAAAATAAGTACAAAGGACACTTTTCAGGTAAGTGATAAATTTGAATATGAACTATGGGTTTGGCAATAATATGGCATCAGTGCTAACATTCCTGATTTAGAGGAAAGAGAACTGGTGTACACTGTCGGTGGGCATGGAAACTGGTGCAGCTGTGACAGGAAACAGTATGGAGGTTCCTGAAAAAATCAAACACGACCCAGCAATCCCACTTCTGGCTGTGTCTCTAAAGGAAATGCAATCAGATCCCAAAGAGGTAACTGCATCCCATGTGCACTGCAGCATGGTTCACAACAGCCCAGACACAGAAACCACCTAAGTGTCCATCTATAGATGAATGGATAAGACATAATTTATATATACAATGGAATATTACTCAGAAATGAGAAAGTAAGTCCTGCCAATTGTGACAACGTGGATAAACTGGAGGACATTATGGTAAGTGAAATAAGCCAGACAAAGTATTATATGATCAGATTTATATGTGGACTCTAAGATAATTAAAAAGTCAAACACAGAGAAGCAAAGAGTAAAATAATGTTTACCAGGGGTTGGTGGGGAGATGGGAAGATGACCGCCAAAGGGTAGAAAGTTGTAGTTATATAGGATGAATAAGTACAGAGATCTAAACTGTACTAGGCTAGAAATATGCCAAGAGAGTAAATATCAGATGCTCTCATCACAAAAATATAAACTATGTGAAATGATATACCAATTAGTGTGACTGAAATAATCACTTCTCTGCATATATCAAATCATCCTGTTGTATACCTTAAATATATATATTTATATATATAAATTATACCCAGGGGTTCTCAGAAAAGAAAAAATACTCAAATCTGAATAAGCATAGTTTATCTGTGAGTTGTTCTATTAAGTAAAAATAATTTTTACTAAAACAAAAGGGGATCGCTCAGCTTGGCACTCAAAAAATTACATATGTACCTTTCCTTGAAATAGCCAAATAATGCCGTGTGCAGCAGACGTGCTCTGTGTGCACCCCCATTTCATCACTCACAGCACTGAAGGGGCTTGTACTCAGGAGTTCATATTTCATAAGAATCAGAAATTTATGCTACATCAACGAAGACATTTTTAAGTGACACTGGTTTTGTGTGTGTGCATGTGCATGTGTGTTTACTCTGAGCGCATGGTGGCAAAGAAGTATCACTACTAGTACACTTTAGTGCTACTGCCTTGATTCATGCTGATACGTCAGCACTTTTATCCAACATGACAGCACAGGAAAAAGGCAAATAGTGTCTTAGTGTTATGAAAATAGTTTGATCTTACAGATCCCATGAAAAAGTCAAAGCATTCCCAGGCAGTCCATAGACCCTAATTTGAGAACTGTTGCCTCAGGGATGGATGAACTCCAAGACAGAAAAAGACCAAACCCTTGGGTGATCTCCTGAAGCACAATCACCCTAGCAGTCCTAGGTCACCTACCTCCAGGCCATTATGTGAGCTGAAAATAAAAGCCCAGTGGCTGATCCGTATGCCAAGTGACACAGAGTTTTTGTATTCCCAAATTCAAAGAACAGTTCTGGATCTGGAAAAGACTGAGAAAATAAAACTGTAGGAATTTAGGACATCATGAATAACAGTTTCCAAATCATTAGATAATGAATCATGAGCTATAAAGCAGAGTTATAAAATGTGCCACTTTAACAGAGCATCCAAACTCTGTTTTCTCTGATATACAGTATATGAGATACTCAGTGCCCGTGAAATAGTGTA